TCCAGACCAAGCTTGAGTGCTTAAGGATAGCCTGGGGTTCCCTCTTTGTCCTTCTGACCCTACTTCTCAGAGCTGAATCCCAGCACCTGCTCGCACCCCTGAACCCTCACCCATACCCGCCCCCAGCCCCGCCCCCAGCCAGAACTCATTGTGGGTCCTGCCTCTGTCTCACAGAGTCCGGAGGAGACAACAGCGTGTTTGATATCTTTGAACTCATCGGAGCCGCCCGCAAGGGCTCCGGGCGCAGGCTGGTGAAGGGCCTGGACGCCTCCAGCCCAGCTTTCCGCATCGAGGATGCCAACCTGATCCCCCCTATGCCCGAGGACAAGTTCCAAGACCTAGTGGACGCCGTGCGGATGGAGAGAGGCTTCCTCCTCCTCGCTTCGCTGCGCCAGATGAAGAAGACTCGAGGCACCCTGCTGGCCCTGGAGCGCAAAGACCACTCTGGCCACATCCTCAGCGTCGTCTCCAATGGCAAGGCTGGCACCCTGGACCTGAGAGTGAACGTGCAAGGGAAGCAGTCTTTGGTGTCCGTGGAAGATGCCCTCCTGGCGACCGGCCAGTGGAAGACCATCACCTTGTTCGTGCAGGAGGACAGGGCCCAGCTCTACATCGACTGTGAGAAGATGAAAAACGCCGAGCTAGAGGTGCCCGTCCAAAGCATCTTCACCAGGGACCTGGCCAACATGGCCAGACTCCGCATCGCCAAGGGAGACGTCAACGACAATTTCCAGGTGAGCTCTCTGGGCCCTCTGAACTCGCCCACTAGCCAACTAGCCGACCTGCCGGCTGCAGCAGGGCATTCGGTGTAGAAAATGCTGCGTGCCGTCTGGAGCAGTGGTTCTCAAACTGCCCGGCACTTCGGAATCACGTGGCCGGCATTTTTTTTATTATCATATTATTCAGTAGGCCTGTAGGGGAGCCTGAGAATGTGCCTTTCTGAGAAGTCCCAGGTGACACTGTAATGTGGCTCCTGGCATTCTGGGGACACTGAAAGCCACAAAAGTAAACAAGAAGTGTTTTTTTTTCGACAACTCAGCCTATCAAAGTCTTCAACACTCCTCTCAAGGACATCCCCCTAACCTTACTAATGCTTGTCGTGGCTATTTTAGATGCACAGAATAAATGTCACTTGGTTATTAGATTCCTCATGGGGGCACCGCGGTCTCAAGTAAAAGGTTAAACAAAAGATGTGATTCTGTACCGCTGCCCCTTCTGTCTAGCCTCAACTCTTAGATCTTTGCCACTGTGACTTTGAACCGCCCACACTTAACTCTTGGAGTGTCCTGGCTAGACTCTCTGGTTAGTATCAGATTCCATTTCCTGCCTCCCCAAGTGGGCTGAGAAACGGAATTCTTCGTCAACGCCTGAGGACTTGGCAGAAGACACGACCAAGATTTTGAAGTTGTTTGGCAGTTTAGATCAGCGTGTCGTTTGGGCGTGGTGACCTCAAAATGCAGCTCTTCTCCACGTGCAGTTGCACACTCATCTCCATGTGTGGGCTTTGGGGAGCGTGGAGAGGCAGCCCTCCTCCCTCCCCCAGCGCGGAGAAGTCATGCCTGTCCTCTGTCCACAGGGGGTGCTGCAGAACGTGAGGTTTGTCTTTGGAACCACTCCAGAAGACGTTCTTAGGAACAAAGGCTGCTCCCGCTGTGAGTACCCTTCTCCTTTTAGAAGATTGGAGAAAAGGGGAGGGCGGAGAAAAGGGGAGGGGAGGACCCCACCCCCACCCACCCCCACCCACCTACCCACACACACAAGCTGAGAAACTTGAGCAGTGCTGACTGTGCATGAATCCCCCCTGGGAACTGTAGTTGCTAGGGTGTACCCAATTGACCACAAAGGAGATTCCACACACATGCATCCCCTGGCCCCAAAGGGAAGTGTCCTTTCCAGCCCAAAACTCTAGGGACTGGCTGGAGAGAAAAGGTCTTTGAAAATCTTCTCTTACCTTTTGTTTGTTAGCAGCTACCAACGTCTTTCTCACTCTGGACAACAACGTGGTGAACAGCTCCAGCCCTGCCATCCGCACCAACTACATTGGCCACAAAACAAAAGATCTGCAGGCCATCTGTGGCGTCTCCTGTGAGGAGCTGTCCAGCATGGTCCTGGAACTCAAGGGCCTGCGCACCATTGTGACCACCCTTCAGGACAGCATCAGCAAAATGGTTAGTGGCCTCTGCCCCCAGCCCCTAGCCATAAACCCTTGTGAGTCCCAATGGCGGGAAGGAGGCTGAGTACTAATGGTCTTTCTCCTGTCAAGGAGGTGAGGAATCCGCCCTTCTGCCTCTACAATGGAGTGCAGTATGGGAATAACCAAGACTGGACTGTGGACAGCTGCACCGAGTGCCACTGCCAGGTAAGAGACCTTTGCACACTCAAAGCGGAATTGGTGGCTGGCATGTGCTTGAAGCCACCAGCGTCCACAGGAAAATATCCAGATGCCCACAGAAGTGCTTGGCCACAGAAGTGCTTGTTTAGGGTTGCTGACTTCATCGCCAACGTGGGCTGTTTTGTTGGGGTTCGGGTGTGGGTCTTTTAAGAGGTGATTATAAATTCATTAGAACCCTGCGAAGGTTTTCAAAGTTTTATCTAATTACACCCCAGGCTAAGTACCTAAGAGAGCAAAGATTTATAGGATATCTGTCTGAATCATTTAATAATTTAATGTCAAGTAAATAAAAATTTCACGGAGCATTCTTCCCTGCCCCCCAATCTTCCTAATCCCAACTTGTATTCAATTCTATAGGGCTTCAAAAAACTCATGGGAAAACTTCATGATCTTGTCATTCCTGTTCTGCACGAACTTTTGGAAGCTCTTGACACAGAACTGCTTGTTGTCCGAATCACTTAGCCCAACATGGCAGGACAGACCTGTGCACTCAGCTCAAACGTTGCTGCCTGCAGCTGTCTCTCTCTAGCTCTCCTGCCAGGCAGCAACAGGTGACATGGTGTCTCCTTCGCTCAGAGAGTCAAGGCTAACTTAACTACAAGTCATGGACTGCTGAATTGGGTTGTCAGCTTCATTAAATACCCGTTCTTCTCTAATATAACGTAAACCTAGATCTAAAGGAGAAACACAATGCTAGTCAATTTTATTTTTCCCCCTCAAGTAAAATATAAAACTTTAAATGCCCCCAACTGCATTTGATGAGTTCATCGGATTTTACCCATGATGCTGGGTGGTTCCCCCGCAAATTCTTCACCCTGTAACTCCCACCTTTGAGTGGCAATTGAGAAAGAATGCCCCACAGGATGGAGTGGCAGGGGACTAGCACTATCTCTGTGACAGTGGGAGCTGTGAAATTAATGGAAACACATCTTCCGTTTGAGTTGTTTCACTAGACCCTAGGTTCCCAAACTTATTTGCCCGAAACCCCCCTTCTCAAAAAGAAAATTCAGCACCCCCTGGACACATACATCCTTTTGTATTATAGTTCATAACCCAGGATAAAGTGTGGGTATCTGCTTCTGCAGCCTCCCTGGATCAGGCCAGTGCCCTCCATACCAGGCAGGGTTCCCCACTTTGGGAAACACTGTGCTAGACCCTTCACCATTCGCACCCCCACCAGACATCAGCTCCTCGCTAAAATTTGATAGCATGTAAACTTCTGTTCCAAAGGTGCTTAAGTAACTCATTTCCCCCTCCCTCTTCCCTGCAGAACTCTGTTACCATCTGCAAAAAAGTGTCATGCCCCATGCTGCCCTGCTCCAATGCTACAGTGCCTGAGGGAGAGTGCTGCCCACGGTGTTGGCGTAAGTTCCCCAAACCTCAAAACTCGAGCTCTCCAAGTAGGTTAGGTCTGCAGACAGGCTGGGCAACTGAGCAGAAGGCTGGAACCCTACCCTGATCCTGTCACGGTGGCTTAATTCCAGCTCTTGCTGCACCAGCTGGCTAGCTGACAGCTTGGCTGTTGTATAGAACCAGAAACTGCATTCTGACTGACCGGGTGACAGCACGGGCTGTGAACATGATCTTGGTGCAGCTTATTGGTCTTGACTTCATACTCTGAAGAAAGACAAGATGAGTCCGGAGGAGTATCCCAAAGTTGACTTATTTTTAGGGTTGACTTTAGAAGCACAACGCTAAGGGAATCTGCTCATCAAAGACATTAGTAGACGTCTGAGTGAGCTGAAGCTGAGTGCTTCAGCTATGCTCATTTCACCTGCAGGAATCTCTGGGCCGACAGAATAATAGCCATTTGAGTCGTAGTAGGGCACTACAGAGAGTAAGTCATGATATTGTGCTCTGGCAGCTTAGGGCCGGTTGTTGCTGCCTGCACAAAGCACGTTGTTGAGACTATAGTGTCATAGGTAACAGTCTTAAAAATTGTTCATCGCGGGTCAGATAAAGGCAGCGAGGGCGGAGACCCAAGAAAGTAGTACTTGCCCTATACAGTCATACACACTGGCCGCAGCTCAGAATAGCCAGTCCCATCCCACGGCTGTGCTAGAAATCTTGGCACTGTAGGGATTGTTTATATATCTGTGAGGAGGCTTCAACAAATTCTTGGGAAAATTCCATTAACTTTTAATCCCATGTGTCCACCCACTTTTGAGAACACCCCCACCCCCACCCCCACCCGGCATTTCTGCTCAGCCTTCACTTGGGCCCTGAATTAAAGGGAATGGGATCAACCAGGAGCTAGCAGTGTTCTGAGCTCAAATCAGGGATTTCTGGGAAAACTTCCAAACCGATGGCAGAGGAAAACAAGTTCTCTGTCTTCAGTTGGGTACAGGTCAGTGTGATTATAGTCATGGTGCGGGAGCAGATGGTAAACAAGCACATGCTCTTGGGAAAATATGTGCTGAGAAGGCCGGTGAGAGGAGTAACCGATTGATTAACCTCTTGACTTAGTAGGAGCCGGAGCCAATAGCTGCTAAACTGCGATTGAGCTCCTCGTCACACATGCTCTGTGGCGCCTGTGAAATTCAGAAGGGGCTCCTAGAAGCTGCTGTACTCTAGTGGTCTTGGAAGCCTACGACTAGAATCACCTCCCCAGACACCTTAAGTTGGTAAAGGGGCATGCATTTAAAATCCTGGCAGGAAAGAAAGGTGGACATTGTGGTAAGAATGCATGCATGTGCGAAGGTTCAGCTGCACGGATCCAGGCATTGCATTCCAAGGTCCCAGTGTTGCAAATGCAGTAACATAGGGGAAACCCCTTGGCTCTTGGTCTAAGCAATATTCTCTGGCAAGGGAAGAAAGTAGTCCTGAACAGAGCGGTCTAAAGAATAGTCTGCCTTCATGAGCAGGCACTAAATGGCCTCTGCCTCCCCTGCAGCCAGCGACTCTGCCGATGATGACTGGTCTCCATGGTCTGAGTGGACGTCCTGCTCAGTGACCTGTGGCCAAGGAATTCAGCAGCGTGGCCGCTCCTGCGACAGCCTCAACAACCGGTGTGAGGGCTCCTCCGTCCAGACACGCACCTGCCACCTTCAGGAGTGCGATAAGAGATGTAAGCATCTTAGCCGTTTAGGGACCTGAGAGTTGGTCAGTCCTTATTGACATGGCCGAGGGCAGGACCACAGCAGAGAGGCTCCAAGGACATGTTTTAGATCCCGTTTTTTATCACTTACCTGTGCCATCTCAGCAAGCAGCCCTGATGGCGTGGGCATGCTATGGGCTGCGATCCGAAGGGTCAAAGGTTTAAAACCACCAACAGCTCCACGGGAGAAAAGCCAGGTTTTCTACTCCCGTAAACAGTTACAGTCTCAGAAACCCCCTGGGGGGTCGCTATGAGTCAGCATGGGCGGGATGGCAGTGCGTTTGGTCTTTTGCGTTTTTATGGGACCTCAAGCACAACTTAACCTTCAGTGTTTGTTAGGGTTTTTTCCCCCTTCATGTCTGTAAAATGGGAATGGGAGGGGAACTAATAGGGTTGTTTCAAAGATTTCATTTCCGTAACACATGTAAAGGCATTTGCAGAATCCGGCTCAGAGCCATGTTGAATCCCTCTAGTAACATCATCCCCACAAAGACAGCTAACCATTATCTGCCCTGTGTTAGAAAAATGTTCCATCCTGGCCACTGGAGATATGGCCAAGAGCCAGTTTCTGCTCACCACTAGACTTAGCTGCCGTGGCCGGTACCCTGAGAAGATTTCCTGGGCCCCTGGGGAGGACCGCTCATTGGCTCGCTGGTGACCATGGGCTTGGTGCTTCAGTTAAACAGGATGGCGGCTGGAGCCACTGGTCCCCGTGGTCCTCTTGCTCTGTGACCTGTGGTGATGGGGTGATCACGAGGATCCGGCTCTGCAACTCTCCCAGCCCCCAGCTCAACGGAAAGCCATGTGAAGGCGGAGCTCGGGAGACCAAGGCCTGCCAGAAAGACCCCTGCCCGAGTGAGTGTGCGCCAGTGCCCGCCAGACGGGGTGGGGGGAGCCAGCTGGTGTCCTGGCACCTGCGGGTCATGGAGGAGGCAAGGCTACTTACTAGAGAAACAAATAGAAGTAGCTTCCCACCTGCTCAGTGGCTTCTAATGAAAAACAGAAGGAAAAGGGGTGGTGGGGGGCCCATTTCAAACATACCCTCTTTCCACTTGTCAGGGTGGCAGAAGTTTGCTCAACAAGCTGAGAGGAGTCCTCCTTGACACATAAGGTTTTTTGGGGGGTGGGAAACCCGCCTCACTTTTGGCACCTGTTTCGTTCTCTTACAGTCAACGGGGGCTGGGGTCCCTGGTCACCATGGGACATCTGTTCTGTCACCTGTGGCGGAGGGGTGCAGAAACGGAGCCGGCTCTGCAACAACCCCCCACCCCAGTTTGGAGGCAAGGACTGCATTGGCGACGTGACCCAAAACGAGATCTGCAACAAACAGGACTGCCCAATCGGTGAGCCTCGCAGCCCCGCCAGAGCCCACGCCCAGGAGCCAGTTAGCCCATTTAGAGCGACAAAATCACCGTCCTCGTTCAAACCGCTTTCGAATGGTCTCGAGTGGTCGGGTAGTTCCAGATGGCAGGGAGACGCATAACCCCGTTGAGCCGCACAGACTCCGCGGAATCTCACAGCCGGACGGTGGGTCCGAGCCCAGTGTCAGGAGCTTAGACTCACCGCTGACCTGTCTCTCCGGCCTGTCTCAGATGGATGTCTGTCCAATCCCTGCTTCGCTGGTGCCAAGTGTACGAGCTACCCCGACGGCAGCTGGAAATGCGGCGCGTGCCCCGCGGGTTACAGCGGCAACGGCATCCAGTGCAAAGATGTTGATGAGGTGAGACACGGATAGGTCGGAGTTGCTAGGTCCCTGAAAGGCACTCCTTCCTCTTAGCCGTTTTCTTGAGAGGGCGGCTGCGAAACACCGGGCCCACTCCTGTTTCCTCCACAGTGCAAGGAAGTGCCCGATGCCTGCTTCAACCACAACGGCGAGCACAGGTGTAAGAACACAGACCCCGGTTACAACTGCCTGCCCTGCCCACCTCGCTTCACCGGCACGCAGCCCTTTGGCCGGGGCATCGAGCACGCCACGGCCAACAAGCAGGTACAGGAGACTTGGGTGGGGGTGAGGGGGGGGGCGAGGGGTGGACAAGAGAACGGCAAGGGCAGGGAGGAATGTCCTTTCAACCACATCAAAAGCACAGGCTGGGGGGAAGGATGAATGTGTGTGCCATCTAGCTCCAGCAAATGGACTGGAAGATTCTTACTAAATCCAACCGGGAAAAGAAAGGTAGTCCACCCATGTGAAAATGGTGCTCCCCGAGAACCCATGCGCAGACGAATTTGTGAACTCCCGTGTCCTGAGCCATGGGACAAGAAAAGGGAAGCAATGTTTGCCTGTGGCCTGAAGGTCCTGAGGGGGCAGTGGGGAAAGTGAGAAGGTATACACACACACACACACACACACTCGGAACTTCTGCTCGGGGATCAGAGGATGTGGGTTCTTCTCCGGGCGGTGGTTCCGGGAGCCCCTGGAAGGCTCTGTGTGAACCTCGGGACGTTGTGCTTTCAGGTCTGCAAGCCCCGCAACCCCTGCACCGACGGGACACACGACTGTAACAAGAATGCCAAGTGCAACTACCTGGGCCACTACAGCGACCCCATGTTCCGCTGCGAGTGCAGGCCCGGCTACGCGGGCAACGGCATCATCTGCGGGGAGGACACAGACCTGGACGGCTGGCCCAATGAGGACCTGGTGTGCGTGGCCAATGCCACCTACCACTGCAAAAAGGTAAGCACCTGCTGCCCTTCGGCAACTTTCTGAGGACGTGAGCACTGCCCTGGTCGAGAGAGCCGGCCGAGGAACCTTCGGCGCTCCACACCAGAAATAACCCGCAGGTTAAGACACCCGAAGGCAGGGCATCACTAGCTGTCCTTAGCATTAACTCACTAGCGGCCGAGAACGGGAGCAGGGCAGGCCTTTTAGCAATGGCCTCCCATGGTCCATGCCTTCACCCCAAAGCGTTCACCATGCCACCGAATACCCAGCAGCGTATGACTCGTGTTCACAGCAACCTATACAGCCAAATTCTATAAAATATACCCCCCCACCCAAGAAGACTTTTGAATGGTTTTTTGTACCCCTCAAAAAAGAGTCATAATAGTGGTGAGCCAGTGACATTCTGTTCATGTTCTCTGTTTGGAACGTCTGGATGTGCACAGCAGGCATCAGCAGAGTAAAGGGAAGGCCAACTGACCGCAGTGCGTGTCTCCTCATTTCTAGGACAACTGCCCCAACCTCCCCAACTCCGGGCAGGAAGATTATGACAAAGACGGAGCCGGGGATGCCTGTGACAGCGATGATGACAACGATAAAATCCCAGACGATCGGGTAAAGCCAACATGCTGTCCTGACACCCTTGACACCCAGGGCATTGCAGCGTCAGAACGAGAGAGAAGAAAAACGCAAAGCTGGCTGATACTGATTATAATCAGAACGTGTCCCTGTGTTCCAGTCATTTGATTGCACAGAGACGGCCCAGAGAATTCTTCAATGAGCATTTTGTGCTCATCACAAGCCTTTTGAAAATAAGTTGCCTCTCTGGAACAAGAAATTGTCATGAGCCAACCAGTGGTCCTTTGCTGCCCAGATTAGATGCCGTCGACCCGTTACGGTACAAATAGACATAGGGCTACTGAGAATGGAAATGATGAGGTAACATTTTACATCTCGCTGGACGTGGGGCCAACGGGAATCGTTTATATATGTATGATGCCCCAGGATTGAATTGTGGGGCGATCACTTTGCACTGCCTATCATCGGCAAGTGGAGTATCATGACAGGTGTTTTCCAGACACACACAGAGCTTTATGTAGCTGTATGGATAGATGCCAAGACCGTGCATGTGGTTTGGGACTTGAATTGGGTGGGCTGGCAGGGTTGTAAAGGACTCCGTTTCTTCTCTGCACAGGACAACTGTCCGTTCCACTACAACCCGGCCCAGTATGACTACGACAGAGACGACGTGGGAGACCGCTGTGACAACTGCCCCTACAACCACAACCCAGACCAGACTGACACAGACAACAACGGGGAAGGAGACGCCTGCGCAGCAGACATCGACGGGGACGGTAAGGCACTCCCCAGGGGATAGCCAGCGCCGCCCCCGCCCCCCCCTTCCCCTTGCTCTCACTGTTCTCCAGACCTGCCTGTTAGCAGACGGCTAGCTGGAAGCATGGCTAGAGATTCCCACCCTCACTCGTCCCCTGTTCTCTGCAGGCATCCTCAACGAAAGAGACAACTGCCAGTACGTCTACAACGTTGACCAGCGGGACACTGATATGGATGGGGTCGGCGATCACTGTGACAACTGCCCCCTGGAACACAATCCAGATCAGGTGGGTGGACGCCTCGGTCTGGCAGGAAAGTGGTGGCATACCCCTTTCTGGGCACTTTCCATCTCAGTATTCACAGTACAGCCAAGTTATGGTGTGTGGACGAACAGTCCTTAAATATCCCGTGCACACTGAGTAGTGTAAAAGTTCTTGGAAAAGAAACTTTGTAAACCAACTAAGAGAGTGTTGACCTCTCCAGAGACAGCAGATGACAGTCCTTTCAGACTGGATAGGCAAAACCAAATACCTACGGAATGAACGGGAGCCCTGGTGGCCGCAGTGGCTATGTGTTGGGCTGTGATCTGCAAGGGCCAACGTGTATAAACACCAACAGCTCCTCGGGATAAAGACAGGCTTTTCTACGCCCTTAAACAGTTCCCGTCTCGGAAACCCACCGGGGCAGTTCTACCCTGTCCTATAGGCTCACGATGAGTTGGCATCAACTCAATGGCAGGGAGTTTGTTTTTGTTTGGAAGAAAGAACTCCATAATTGACCCCATAGTACGAGTTGCCGAGACAGTAAGCACAGAACATCACCATTTTTCTGCGGTTTCATGACCTGGAATTGAAGTTAGCAAGTCAGCAACTGTACAATTGGAAGCATCAGCGGGGGGGAAAAATAACAAAACTGCCTCACAAAACGCCATGTAACCTTAAGAGATATCCAGTTAACATCACAATCCATCTTCACTTTATAGCCTTTGTGTTCAATGCTATCGACAAAGTTTTAATATTTCAGAACTATTGAATGGCATTTTCCAAATCATCAGGTGACAATGATCCAGGAGAAAAGCCTGGAATGTAAATGTTACTATTACTATTTTTTTAAAGCAAGAGTATACAAATACCCATGACACCCCAAGGGTGGAATGGAACACGGAGAACAGGCCCTGCTCTCGTTCCTGACGTCCTCTTCAACTGACCCTTTTGTCTCCTCTTCCAGCTGGACTCCGACTCGGACCTCATTGGGGACACCTGCGACAACAACCAGGACATCGATGAAGACGGCCACCAGAACAACCTGGACAACTGCCCATACGTGCCCAACGCCAACCAGGCCGACCACGATAAAGACGGCAAAGGAGACGCCTGCGATCCCGACGACGACAATGACGGCATCCCGGATGACAGGGACAACTGCAGGCTGGTGCCCAATCCTGACCAGAAGGACTCTGATGGTGCGTCCGTTAAAGCCTGTTTGTTTGTTTGCTTGTTTGTTTGTTTCTTAAGAGCGTAATGGAAACCACATGGCCCTAGTCTAGAAGTGAGAATTAAAAAGCTGAATGCCAGTGAGATGACGAGGGCCCTTCCCGGCAGCGTCGCCCGGAGAGTGGGTGCCTGACGCCGGGAATCGTCGCGTTTCTGAAGCTCACAGAATGTTCTGCTTGCCTCTGTGACCGCAGGTGATGGTCGGGGTGATGCTTGCAAAGACGATTTTGACCAGGACAATGTGCCAGATATCGATGACATCTGTCCTGAGAATGTGGACATCAGCGAGACCGATTTCCGCCGATTCCAGATGATTCCTCTCGACCCCAAAGGAACATCCCAAAATGATCCTAACTGGGTTGTGCGCCACCAGGGTAAAGAGCTCGTCCAGACTGTCAACTGTGACCCTGGGCTTGCTATCGGTGAGTAGAGAGTTCCTGGGATGGGGGAAGGCAGCACATGTAAAGCCTGGCGGTTCCATGTCTTTCCCATGTCCGTCCTGGTGGGTGCCACGGCCGTCTGGGAGTGGAACAGAAAGTTGGAGGTGGTGACCTGGGGTGTGGCCTCCTCCTCCAGGTTATGATGAGTTTAACGCTGTGGACTTCAGCGGCACATTCTTCATCAACACCGAGAGGGACGATGACTACGCTGGGTTTGTGTTCGGCTACCAGTCCAGCAGCCGCTTCTATGTTGTGATGTGGAAGCAGATCACCCAGTCCTACTGGGACAGCAAGCCCACGAGGGCTCAGGGCTACTCAGGCATCTCTGTGAAAGTCGTGAACTCCACCACGGGGCCCGGCGAGCACCTGCGGAATGCCCTGTGGCACACGGGCAACACTGCTGGCCAGGTAAGAAGGGAGGGAACCGAGAGGGGCAACTCTTATCGCACTGAGGTGCTGGGCTCTGACTAAGACTGCAGACAGGGAGGGAGTCTTCGAGACATGGGACCCATCATCACCAATTGCAGCACCGGGCTCTGCTCTGTGTGAACAGGGAGCTTGAGAGGGTAGCTGGCTGTGCCCGAGTTACCCTTCCCATCCGAAGGCAGCCTCAGCCTCTTCCAACAAAACCGCTCCTCTCTGCTTCTGCCGTACACGTATTTTCAGGGCATGCCCCAAAGGAAAGCAATTTTAAGTGGGGAGGGGGGAATCTTCCACGGCAGCCTTCTCATTCAGGGCAAAGTGGTGCCTTTGGGGTACCACTTGTTACAGAAGGAAACAGAGATCCGTCTCACAATGGGGCGCTGTTTCAACACCTCCTTCTCCTTCAGGTCCGAACCTTGTGGCATGACCCCCGTAACATCGGCTGGAAAGATTTCACCGCCTATAGATGGCGTCTCAGCCACAGGCCAAAGACCGGCTTCATCAGGTAAGACTGCGCCGTCCGAGTATCGCTTACTGTCCTGGTGGTGGGCAAGAAAGAAGGGCACCGAAGACCAAGGGGGTCACTCAGGAAGCCTTCCTCCCTTGGTCTCCTGCAGAGTGGTGATGTACGAAGGGAAGAAAATCCTGGCCGACACGGGACCGATCTACGACAAAACCTACGCCGGTGGGAGGCTGGGGCTGTTCGTCTTCTCTCAGGAAATGGTCTTCTTCTCCGATCTGAAATACGAGTGCAGAGGTAGGCGCCGGCGTCCCGGCTCAGATACAAGGTGGCTTCTCTGATGCAAAGGTTGCCAGGAATGCCACCGAGGGGAGTCTGATGGAGAGATGACGGCACAGGCAGACTGTTCTGTGCTTGGCTTTTGACATTGACAATGAAACCAGTGCTAGCAAGTGCCTCTGACAGCATTCGGAGTCCTTCAGGATTATTTGCTGAGCAAGCCCTGCTTCTAACGCAGACGTGCCGCGACACAGTGTCGACCCCAATTGCACTTTAACACTGTACATACTTGTGTCGTTGACCCACGGCTGACCATATACTTCCTGCCATTACAGCATATAGATGATCTTTACCCATGCTTAGCTGTATTCAAAGAGAAAGGCAGACTGCCTTCCTATTGGCTTGTTAATTGTCACCATTGTCCTTGGCTTCCCTGCTCTAGTGAAGCCATTCTTTCTCACGTAGTGATTACTTACACTCTCATGCTGTCCAACCTTGGGCCTCGCATAACCTCACTCTGTCAGTGTGTACTGGGCTGGGTCCAATGCCTACCGGGCCAGCAGTCAGAGAAACAGGAGGCAGCTTTTACCAATATATGATTGAATATTTAAATCATGTCATCTTTGTACCCAATTTTCTTTTTCAATTAACCTAAACGTTTAACATGGAGGGCCTTAGGAAGCATAGCATAAGTTCTGGGAGGCTGCACTGTGTCAAGCTCCTGACATCAATGTCAGCAGTAAATGTCAATGTTCACATGTTTCAGCCACCTTAAATGATGTGTTTGCTGGTGCGAATGTAGAAGTGTACGTAGGTTCTGATTAACTGATATTCAGATGGAAGTGCTTTTAAGAAGGGGGTGTTTATTTATTTATGTGTTTATTTCTGTAACAGATTCTTAATCGTCAAACTGTTGGCCAAAAGACTGGTTAAAACCAATGCTGGTATTGCACCTTCTGGAACCATGGGCTCGAGAAAACCCCAAGATCTCTCCTCCCTCCTTCCTTTTTCCTCCGCTTGCATCAGTGTGGACTCCTAGGCCCCGCGGCCTGCCTCAAGGACATGCCGTTTTCAAAAACAGACTCAGCGTTCCGCCGCCAACGAATGAAGAGGGCATCTTACAATGAGCGTCAACATTTGTTCCGGCTTGCTTTGGGGACAGGCACAGCATCCCTTTGCTTTCATTGAAAAGGCACCTGCTCCACTCTGCTGCTGTGTCACAGAGCGGGGTCACTCTTGCGAAGGCCGCCTCCGAGCAGTGGGCTGGGCAACACCTCCAGGCGCGTTGAGAGAAGGGAGAACTCGTTGGCATCGGCGAATGCCACCAGCCCCTGACCCACCCCCTCAGGAATGGGGGAGGCAAGGGCCAGAGCACTTAGGGGAAGGTGTATACCCACGAGATGATGGCGTGAAGGCAATATGGAGGAACAGTTACATGTTCGGTACTAATCATTTTCAGGGGATCGAGAAAACAATTGTTGGACTTCATGATGCTGACAGGTGTTAGCTGATTAACCCACAAAGCGAGGCACTTAGGGAGAAGCAGAGAAGGGAGGGAAAGACTGGCTTCTGGACTTCATCCTGGCCCCCGTTCCTTACAAATCCCCTGCAGTGGCCAGAACAGGGGTCCAAATGAAATCGGTGTAAGGCAGTGTGGCTGCCACGACCTGGTTCCATGGATGTAGCAGGAAAATGGGAAACCTACCATCTCAGTGAGCACCAGGCTGCCTCCTGAGGGGCACGCCGCTGGGCTGACATTTTTATGGTTAGAATGGCACAAAAATTACTACCAACCTAGCAAAAACATTCCTTTTCTCTCTCTTTAAGTTGTTCTCTTGAATACCATGGAGTTTTCAAATTCTCTCTGGTGGATTGTAGCTTTTTGTTTTGTGTAAACGAACGCTTGATTTGCAATGTAAAATATTTATTTTTTACCTCTTCTGTGGGATCTCACGGAAGGGCTGTTGGTGAAACAGGAAGAAATGTACGGACTGTGCATACATCTTCATTCCAAGTCTTCGTGACTGTAAGACTGTAAATACAGATTCTTTATCAACTCTGTTCTACCTGGAATCGAGGTTTCGGATGGAGAGCGTTTGAGGTCAGATTGTGGAGCTGTAGCAACAAAGCTCCCCTGGGAATCGCACCAGGAAACGCAGCCAGTGAGCTGCCCTGTGCATGGTGCTCAGAGTGCAGGATTTGGGATTCCTTCCTCCACCCCCAACCCCGCCCCACCCGTTTGCTTCTTCTGTCTAATCAAGTGGAATTAGCTGGTTCTTCATTTACAAGTACTTCTTAGATGGCAAAGAAGGCCATGAGGCCCTCACATAACTAACTGTTTTGCTCCTCATCCCCCGTGCGCCCACTTCCAGGGACCAGAAAAGCTTACACCCCTTTTCAGTCTTTTTTTTTCTTTCATTTTTCCAAAATAGAGGGGAAACAATGACAAAGGTGAAACTTCTATACAAATATTACCTCATGTGTTGTGTGACTGAGAAAAGAATTTGGGCTCAAGCAGAGAGTTTAAGTGTCTAGCGAACTTAAAGCTACTGTAGCTCCTGACAGAATAAGAAACCGTCAAATGTTGTATATAGTATAAAGTAGTCTTTTGCAGAAGAGCATTCCCATTAAGGAAATAGCATTGAAATGTCAAATACACTTTCTGAAAGTTACGTGTGTGTTTTTTTTCTATCATCTTGTATACCATGGCTTTATTTTTATAAATTATTTTCTCATCGCCATTGGAATAGATCTCTCAAGTTTGTGTAGATATGCTATTTAAATAATTTATCAGGAAATACTGCCTGTAGAGTTAGTATTTCTATTTTTATAAAATGTTTGCACACTGAATTGAAGAATTGTTGGTTTTTCTCTTTTTCGTTTTCATTTGTTTGTTTGTTTCACGTTAACCCCTCCCCCCCGCCGCCCCCACCTCCACCCCGTGCCAGTTTTTGACTATTTGCCAATACCTTTTTCTAGGAATGTGCTTTATTTGTACACATTTTTATCCATTTTACATTCTAAAGCAGTGTACATGTATATTACTATTTCTTATGTACAAGAAACAACAATAAACCATATGGAAATTTATATTTATACTCACAGTGTGCACGTTTACTTGTTTTCCACTTTATGAGCTATGGGTAAACTCCATCCTTAGATCAGTTTAGCATATGCAAGAGAAATCAGAGTCGGTCACAGGAGCATGCACAGTTGGGTCCAACTGAAGAAAATGGAGCTATTTGGACATAGGCTAAGAACACACACTGCCTGGATTGGTTGAATGAAAGAACAAAACAACTGAGCCTGACATCTCAATCCCAACTAAAAGCAATGTCCTCCCCATACACACCCCTCAAAAGACACACCTTCATCTCCATCTTTCTGAAATGTCACTTACTGATTCCTGCCCAACATTCACGTCTTCCTCTAAGGAGAACAATGAAAACAAAGGGAAAAACAAGTGTGAAGCACATGCAACTCTGGGTGCCGGTAGACCCTCTGATTGCATGTTATGGGAAGCCTCGGGAGTACGTGTAATGGAGGGATTGTGCTGGGATGGTGGGCCAAACACAAGGGTCTCCTTTGATGATAGCACCTGAATTGTTGATGGATAAAGTCGACTTTTGAAGGAATCTTAAGAGGGAAAAAGTATAAAATACCAGATTATTTTGTGATGAGAAGGTCATGATATTAGAATTAGCAGAAGTTAAATTTCTGATGGATTAAAAGAATATGACCAGTTATTTTATAGTGTGGTGCAAGGAGAAGAACTAATTTTATGAGTAGACTGAAATGTCTGGCTCTTAAGTTCTGTTAAGCACTAGAAATGACTTGGCTGTTCTAAAAACATGTCTCTGGGTAGCATGATCACACACTGGTATAAACAAGGGTTGCCAAATCCTGGTACCATGCTCAGGTGCAGAAGCAAATGTTAGAAAATGTTAGTAAATAACTGAGGCGTTGGGAGAACGGATCTCCCCACAGAAGTAATTATGGAAAGCAAAGCGAGGGGCCGTCATAAAGTTCCCGGAAAACTCCATTGTCTTTTAAATCCATTTCTTCCACAAACTCTGTGAAGCCTTTTGGGCAGTCTCAAAATAGCTCAGCCTTTTAGGCTCTGAGAGGGCATCCTAAATCACTTCCAGGGGAAGAACAAAATTGACCTAAAATAGGAAGAGGGGACAAAGGGTCTGGATTCGGGATTTTATTCTTCTCTGTGGGTATGTCCCAAGCTCTTTCTGGAAGTGACCTTCCAATCAGGAATGCATTGAAAGAAAAGTTGTTAAAAATTAATACTGTATCACAGAGGTGATTGCTTTTACTTCCGACAAGAGTTTATTGACGGGGTTTCGGGGAGAGTTGGATTAAAGGGCAATAAAGCTTTGCTCCGATGGAAATCCACACCGAAGGAGGTGCCAGTGTTTCCTAAGTATCGAAGTAGCTCGTTGCCAGCTCTGAAATTCATTCAGAGGACACATCAACTCTTCCTCTTTGTCTTCAGTCTCTTAGTCGGGGAACGTAAAACATCTATATTTAATAAGAACACTGTCTCTTGGATTTTCTGTTGGACTTTTTTATTTTGAACCCAGGCATTTGTGTTCAATAATGCAATCCTCTTACCAACTCTGTTTAGAGTCACCTTGAGCTGACCCATTGTGAACTGGCAAGGCCTCTCTTAATGCCGAATTGACTACTTGGAGCACTCGCGATACTCTCACTCCCCCACAAACACCTGCAGAGCCATGGTGAAGCCGCAGAGTCCTCGCCCTTACAGTGGGAGCACAAATGCCTTCTCGTTGTTCCTCCATCAGCTGATTTTTCTCCCTCTCTGTGCCCTTTTCTCGTTAACCAGGAATCCATTTCAAAGCTGAGCTCCAGAGAGGCTGGTGGGCAGGCCCTGATTGCTCTGTTCTGCCCCCGCTCCAAATTCCTGCCCATTGCCCTCTGCCCTCAGACTCTTTCGAGCAGACCGAGTGTCAGTCTCGTGTCATTCCCTTGACTGTCGAAAGTCACAACTCTTCCACTTCTGCTGACCCTCCACAGCAAAACGCTGGCCATTACGACCGAGCTTTGGAGGTAGGAGCACACTGACACCCGCCTAGCCATTGCTGTTTGAAATGAGCCAACAGGAAGCTGAAGCAGAAGGGCGGGCAAATTAAATTGACCACGGATACCTCTGAAAATAGTGGCTATCAACTCCTTCATTCAAATGTCAAGGACATTTGATGTGAGCAGGCACTAATCTCACCCAATATCAGTAGATGAACGTGGGCCCACTGAAGCCGATACTGCGGCATAACTCTGATTTTCATTCAAGGCAGCACAACAGTCGGCTCTCTGGAAATATTCTTCTGAGTCCAGGTTACTGACTTATAAAATCCTTTTTCCTTAAATCGTACTGAAGAAACCATAACAAAAAAGTAGCTGATTTTTTTAAACTGTATTCTGAAAGGCTCAAACTCTGAAAGAAGATAAACTGGAAGGATTACACTAAATAATTCAATCTAGCACCTCCTTACGTACAGTTCTGCTAGCATTGCTCCACTGAGGGGAGGTTCTGCTCTCTGTGCACGCACTTACCAGACGCAGGAGAGAAGAAAAGGCGGAAAAGCAGGGCAAAACGAAACATAGGCTGCACACAATTGTCTGAACCACAATGAGGTTAAAAAGTATAAAATCAAATACAAAGCGATCACAATGCTTCAACTAGTTTTATAGTAAAATACGCAGATAGTAAAATATCCATTTCCTTCATGTATCCCCGATGTTATAAGATTAACAATAAGGAACTAAGTTTCTAAGAATTCCAATGAAGAAAAACCACTGTTGCCTTCAAAAATACCAAGGACTGTAATCCGCATGAGAATTCAAATGACGCAGTCATCACTGGAGGAATGGTCTTGAACAGTGCATTCACTGCAGTCAAAGGATTTAGGGAGAGAAAAGGTAATAACCCAATCCACCAACTTGCCCAAAAGTACCCCCAGCAAGTCTCTACTTAATTAAGATTCTTCACATTCTTCTGTCAGCTCTTCAGTCTCCTGTTCATCTGAACATAAAAACAATAACCAACATGATTAGACAACAAAAAATGGGTACGTCATTAAGAAAAATAGTTCAGCTTATAAAAACATTAGACCTTTTCATCTATGACAAGTAATCACACTCTCATTTCATATGGCTCTAGCAGCCACCTTCATCTGCACACAAGCTTGTAGGAAGCAGTGCAAAATAAGGCATTTGCCCTGGGAGATCTTACAATCAAGAAAGACATTTGGGGGGTTTGAAAGCCAAAATGGTGATAGGTTTAAAGGCAGAAGACGAAATGATTATTGCTTTTTACTATGACTCTAGGGAGTAAAGTGAAATGAAAAGTACATATTTTATTTAGGGTGGGAATATAACACTAACCAATGCGAAGCAGAAATATTTCCCTAACCTCCTAAAAAGGGTTCTCAGAAAAGCCCGCGTTGACAACAGAATGAGATAAAACAAGATGATAATGAAAATCAAGAGAAACGAGCCCTCAGCACACTGCTGGTCGGAATAGAAAAGGATGCCACCTTTTTGCAAAACAAACTAGCGGTTTCCCAAAAAATGGCTACAGACCCAGAGATCCGACTTCTGGACCCATACGTAAGAGAAATGAAAGCATGTGACCACACAAAAAACGTATGCACAGATTAAAAAAAAAAAAAGTGGAGGCAACTCAAGTGTTCATCAATTGATGAGTGTGGTAGTCACCTAATCTGGTGTCAATTTGAGGATTAAGAGTGTAGGGGTGGAGCCTAGCCTGTCAATCTGGAGATAGCCAATGAGACTTCTGTGTGGGCCTGGCCTTCTCCTGAGAATTCTGGGAAATCTGGTACTTCCTCCTTGGAGGTGGGAGACACTTCTGTCTCTGACACACCCTGGGAGACATAGCAGCTGACAAGACACTTGGACCCACCCTGATACAGAGACACCTGCCAGCGCTGAGATGTTTCCAATGCAGAGACCCCTGCCAGCGCTGAGATGTTTCCAATGCCACAGGATCCAAAGACGTTCTACCCACTGGCCTGTGATCTTCTACATTCGGCATCATTGCATGTGTTTTGTGAGTCTGAAGAGGACTTTATAGATTGGTATCAGGCATATTGGCTAATATCGGACTTATGGACTTGATCTGGACTGGACTGGGATGTTTTCTCAATGTTCAGTTGCTCTTGTATATAAATCTCTTTCTTATACACATGAATGTCTCCATGGATTTGTTTCTCTAGTCTACCCAGACTAACACATTACATTTAATGAGGTCTCATTCAGAGGTCTCAATAAGATGTGTGAAGAACTGACGCATGCTCTCGCATAGGTAACTTTGAAAACATGTTAAGGAGTCACAGAAGGCCACATAGTGTATGAGTGGCTCAGCCCAGGGAAAGCAAGTTTTCTTTAAGACGCAAAGAAAGGAGCGTACAATGTATTGTGATGGATGCACGACTCTGAATGTGACTTAAAGAAAAAACACGGGGTTGTATGGTCTTAGAGAACAGAGGGCCCCTCAAAAGACATGCCCGAATCCTAATGCCTAGAATCTGTGGATTTTACCTTATTGGGGAAAAGGTTCTTGGCATATATTATTATAGATCTTGAGATGAAGAAGTCATTCTAGTTGATTTAAGTAGGCCCTAAAGGCCCAATGACAGCCGGCCTTTAAGAGATGAAGGCAGAGGCATAGTTGAGACACACACCCAAAAGAGAAGGCAACAGGCAGACAGATGGAGACCGAGTTTTCTTGGATGTGGGGCATTGAGTGCCAAAGCCGGGACAACTCTGAATATGTTGGGAGGTTTGGGTCCAGCACAGCAACATTTGTGAGCTGGTGCAGAACAGGGACACGTTGTGTTTTGTTGGACATCAGGTCGCTGTGAGTCTAAGCCCACTCCAGGACACGTGGCAACAACAATGGCTTTCATTTCAGGGTATTATAAACAACCCTGTAGGACTCGCTGCTACATGTGCTATAGAAGATTTTAACAGTTTTGTTCTTGTGGCGACTTTGCTTCCCTTGAATTAGGGTAGGTCTGTACTCTTTGACTATGTGACTGACTGTACATCCCTTTTTGGCCCCACCCTATTTGTTTGATTCGTATTATTAGATTTCCCTTTTTCTTATATGAATTTCTAGGATAGCTAAGCTTATGATTTGTGGGAAATGATTTGTGGGAAAAGGATTTGTGGGAAAAGGAGATTTGTGGGAAAAGGAGATGATTTGTGGGAAAAGGAGAATGTTATATGTGCATAAGGAGACCTGCTGGTGCTGTGGCTGCTAACTACAAGATCAGTGGTTCAAACCCATTAGCTGCTCCACAGGAGAAAGATGAGGCTGTCTGTTCCCATGATGATTTATAGTAGAAACCCTATATTGGGGCATTATGAGTTGGAATCAACTCTGTGGCCGGGGTGCTTGGTTTGACTCTACATGCATACATCCTTTGTTGTTGTTGTTGTTTTGATTGCCTACAAAGCAATGCAGCATAAGAAAACTGACAAAATATTACACAAACTAAATTCTCTTGTTTCTGATATGCCAGTGTATTCAGCATCTCCAAGATAAAGTGTGACCAGACAACACTTATTCCCCTCCCTCCTCACACTTCCTTCAGGTGGAGTTTACAATGGAGAAACATCCCTGACCTCATTCCACCTCATTCAACTCTCCACTGGAGGAAGAACCAGTTAGCTGACTGGTGGATTTAGGAGTAGGATCTGGGCATGCTCAGTTCAGTCCCTTCCTCCTCAGGAGCCAGTCTCCCTGCAGGTAGGATGCATTCTTCGCTCCTCACACTGTAGATTTCACATGGACAGGTCTCCACAGGAAAAGCCTAGTTTTTCACCTTGGCTAGGTGCCCTGGTTTCCTAGTGGCTATGCACTCACTGGGTTGCTAACTGCAAGGCTGGAAGTTCTAAACTGTTCCGTGGGAGAAAGACGGGACTTTCTACTACCATGAAGAGTTACAGTCTCAGAAACTCACAGAGCCCAGTAGGGTCACCATGAGTCAGCACCAACTCCAGGGCAGTGAGAGACTGGGTCGGTAAGGTTATTTGGGGGGACACAGCCGGGGGAGCTTCATTTGACGGCACTCTCCGATGACTTCTCCCATGCTCTACACTTCATCAGTGATCAAGCTAACTTCCTTCCTCTCCGTTTGTCAGACTCCATCTCCCTCTCATTGGGGAGGAGAGGGATGCTATTCCTCCTAAAGCCCGAACCGTTAAAAAGTGGTCAACGTGGTGGCATAAGTTACCACACACTCCTGTCACCCCAGAGCAGAAACAGAAAGTAGTGGGACCAAGTCTCAAGTCTGGAAATCAGTCAAAGAAGTACGGCATCTAACCAAACACGGAATCAGGAAAAAGCCAACTGTCAACAATCTGAAATGTTTTCTTTCTCCCTGAAAGGTTCTTCTCCTTCCTCACCAATGCAGGCCGAGTGGGACCTGAGGCCATGCCAAGGCACGGACTGCCTTCCTCTTTGGCTCAGGGAGACATAGCTCGTGGCTGTTCATAGCTACCTGGAAGCTTTCTGAAGAACTGACGAGGCCCAATCCTCCCTGGGGTGTGGGGGGGGGGGGGGGTCAGGGAAGGGGAAATCAGCAAACAGCTTCCAAATTGTGGTCACCCTGAACTTCCTGACATGAATGAGTGTGATTGAACGAGACAGCAGGCCTCTCAGGGCCACACGAGAAGAGCGTGGGTGAGTTTCTGAAGTGAGCTGAGACAAGAAGTCTGCATACAGGAACTGATATACCCCCAATTATACATGGCATCTTGGAAATGTATTCTGATGTCTGGAAGCTGAATGCTAAGCAAATATATTCAAATTCCCCATCTCCGTTCAGACTAGTAAGTTCTCTTTTCCTTTGAAATCAGCATTGTTTTCTAGATGAGAGAATGAATTACTATCAGGAATAATGTGTTTATACGAGTGCTAATCTCAGCTTTGTTCTCACAAGAACATGGATCAATATGGTCTTCTGTGCACATGCGTATTGGCACCACCTGGTGACTCACAGTGTACCTGAAGACTTCAAATAGTTCATTGGAAAATTCCGTTATCTTTTCATTCCACTTTTTTACGAATTATCTGAAGTCCCTATACCCTACCCTAAGGTACTATAGAGTATAGTATCTTTATATTGAGATACTCCGTAAGAATTAAACACCAATATAGGTATTCTCCAACCTCACCTGTTTGGGGTTTCACTGGAGAGCTGAGAGTCAAGTGTTGATCTTCTGACAAAAGGTTCCCATGGGTGGCACACAGTGGCCCATCCAGGAAAGAGGGCCTTTTCAGTCTCCCAATGCCAAGAGCTTTTGACATAAAGTAATCTTTTCTGTCACTCATCACTTCGCCTATGGCAAATGGGAGGCGGTTCATAATCTCTGCTTCATCGACAAGCGCGTCTGCCATGTAATGGCTAGCCAAGGCTTTGGTAAGATAGTAGCCTCTGGGTGTTCCACACCCTACCTCCTCAAGGGCTGTTGCATCTTCTCCCTCGGTCTTGTTGGAGTCTGGAGTTGCTGGTCCATTCCGTGACTCACAGATGACCGAGTCAGGAAGCTGGGGGACCTCCGATGCCGTCTCCCCCAAGTCTCTGTTCTCACTTTCTGAAGAGGGTAGTCGAAGCAGGGGTTTTTGTTGGAGCATGCACCCATCCAGAAGAGACTTTAACTCGTCCTCAGAGAGAAGTGATGTTGACTGTAACTGATGAAACAAACCGAAAGTGTTATAGTCAATCAACTGAATAAACAACCTTATTGATTTTGTTTTATAAGCCTTCGATCATGCAGCATAAGCAAGAGGGCCAGGGACCCTCTGACACAAAACATCCAAAAGAGAAAACCATTCCTTGTACCATATCCAAAAGGCAGGGTAAATGCACAGCAGCCCTGCAAAATGAGTTTAGGCTCAATGACACCCATGCAAATCCAGAGACAAGTCCCACAGCATCGGTGGGAGAGAAACAGTGCACAAGTTAATCTCAATGCATGGAAGAGAAGTCACTTGCACTGAAATGAAGATGCTAGAAAGTGACCTTTGTTTTTAAAAGCCTTGGGACATCAAGCAGGGAAATGGGAATGTCCTTTTGGATAAGTAACCAAGAATCTTGTCAGAAGAGCCCATAGGCGTTTCTCTGTCCACACCCATTCCTCAATTTCCTGATGCCATGCAAACAGGGTAGGCCACCCCTGCCTCTGTCCGTCCACAACTTGCAGTGGACAATACTGCTGAAGATGGAAAAGGAAGGGTGGAGGGTGGTGTATCCTGAGATGTGTAATCGCTCCAAAGCTACAGGTTTAGGCAGAGGCCAGGGGCATTCCAGGAGCAGTGCATTCTGGGAGGAAGATTGGATCACACATGTTTCATTCCGTCTTGTGTTAGTGATCAGGGTGGGTCATTCTCCCAGCAGTCTTCTTAAATAGATAAAACAAATGAAGCCAAAGTGCTGACCTATGTTCTGCACAAACTCAACTGAGCGGCATGCCATTTAAATTGCAACAATCTCAGAAAGGTATGGAATTAAAATATAAATACATACATTGGGAAAAAAGTCTCTCCTTGATCAAGCTGTTCCAGATTTACATAGAAACATATAAACCTTCTTTGCAGAGAATTATCTAGAAATAAGAAATCCCCCTAAGAAAAGTTAATCATGAATATCACTCACAATTTCTATGTCAGCGAAGTAAAAAGGTATGTGTTTACATATATTGTCCCACTTTGAAGGTATACAGTAAAAAAAATTACTAAATGCTCTATATAATGAAATTACTGGAAACACTAGGGATATATGCACTCATAATAACCAACCATTTGAGATCAAAAGGGCAGCATTTGTCCAAGAACAAAGCTCAGAAGGCAGGAAGGGCAGAGACAGGAGGAGGGATGGAAACAGGAAACAAGGCAGGGAGGAAGGAGGAGTGAAGCTTCACTGTGGGGATTGCCATTAACATGTGAAACAAGGTGTGCACGCATTATTGAGTGCAACACTGACTAGCCCGGTAAACCTTCAATCAACTCACAATAATTTTTTTTTTTTTTACTTAAAACAGTGGGATTTTATTCTCTCGTGATTTGGGGGCCTGGAAATCCAAACTCAAGGGGTTGTAGGCCCACGCACCCTCTGAGTGCTCCAGGAAGACTCCTTCTGGGTTTCGTGTTGTTTAATTGAGTGTCTGCTGTCCTTGGCATTCGTTGGCCATGGCGGCATGACTCCAACGTCTGCCTCGCTCTTCCCACAGCTACCCTTTCTTTTTACAGGGGGTACCCCCCCAAAAAAAAACGGAATTTCTTTTTAAAGCTCTGTATTTAAGCTTTTTTCACGCAAAAAAACTTATCACCTTCAAAGTACTCTCCATGGCACTTAACACATTTGTCAAATCTGCAATTCTATTCATGGAAACATTTTCAAACTCATCTGTTTGGATGGATGACAGCACCTCCCTCATTTTTTTCTTTTGAAGAAGCAGAAGAAATCGCAGTACATCGTCAAATCCTGTCCTTTCATGTTCCTCTAGAGCAGGGGTTCTCAACCTTCCTAATGCCGTGACCCTTTGATACAGTTCCTCATGTGGTGGTGACCCCAAACCATAACATTATTTTCGTTGCTACTTCATAACTGTCATTTTGCTACTGTTATGAATTGTCATGTAAATATCTGATATGCAGGATGTATGTCCATTGTTATAAATTAAACATACTTAAACATAATTAAAGCATAGTGATTAATCTCAAAACAATATGTAATTATATATTGTGAAATAATTATGTTTTCCGATGGTCTTAGGCAACCTCTGTGAAAGGGTCGTTTGCCCCCCCAAGGGGTCGCGACCCACAGGTTGAGAACCACTGCTCTAGATCTTGAATGCTATCCCTGATCTAGGCTGCAGACTGGGATGTGAGGGGGCTCTGGAAAGCCATAAAGCCCTGTGGCCAACTTTTCATGCCTATCCTCAACACCCTTCAAACAAGGAGAATGTGAGTGAGGCCTTATGTAGGCCAAGTTCAAGTTCCCTGGATTCTCAAAGATCCACACTTCCAAGAAGTAGGGTTTTACCAAGCTTCACACTGATGAGTTTGATGACATGGTGGCTGAGAAGCACCTCATACCAGATGGTTGTGGAATCAAATACATCCCCCATCATGGCCTCTTGGATAAGTGGTGGGCTCTGCGTTCCTGGCGGCCTTGCTAGCCCTATGCCCTGCCTGACCTGTTCCACCCATAAACTGAATTCCCAAAACAAGTTATACTAAAAGGATGCCATGGGGTATGACTTGTCTCTGCTGTGAACAATATTTACATAGTTTAGATCATAAGGTCACTGCAGATGACTGAGAAACAAATTTTGTGATTTAGTTACTTTAGAAAAATGAGGGGAGGCAGAAAATGATTTGATTTACAAAATTAAATCCAAAGCTACCATAACAAGAAGTCAATACATACTTCTAAACGCATCACGTCAGGAAGCAAGCTATTAGGAAACAATACAGAGATAACCAGTAAGCGAAAGATTGCTAAAGTAATGGATACTGCTTGGCTCTGGAAAGTAAAACTAAGAGGTGGAGAGGTTTGAGGGAAGAGGCTGTTGTATATATATATATATATTTTTTTTAATACAACTTTTTCTTTAGTTACTGTGACAAAATTTAAGTATGTTTAAAATAAAATATAAAAGTTATTTTAAGTGTACTCCACTTTAATACAAATGAATATAAAAATTTTAATTTTTTTAAGTATTAAAATTTTTTTAAGTTACCAATTTATAAGTTCTTTGGGAATCAGAAGCTAATCTGTTTCAGGAAGCCTACCAATTATCATTAGAATTGGAAGAGGAGACAGGCTTCTTCAAGAAGAAATATAAAATATCACAAATATAAAATAGACACACAATTGAATATCTTTTTCCAGAATGTGAAAAAGCTCACAATAACATACTAGAACTCTTGTGATTCAAGTTCATCTCTTATAAAATGTGTTTAGGTCATTTATCAGAATTGCTTACTTACATAGAAATATTTTCTGGCCACAACCTGGCTTCGTCTCCTCACTCCATTAGGATAAGTTATTTGCAAATGCTACACTGGACCCAATTGAGCTCTATCACAAACATCCTGTACTAGCGTTGATCAAGTTAAGGGGCCATCATTCATATTGAATTCATAATGAATTCATCAAATTGTTCTGGAAACTTCTGAGCTAAAGAACTCCCTAACTCAAACACTCACTGGGTCAGCACAGGCAAGCACTCCTCTGTTCGAGTGCTTTACCTCAAGAGGTTCATCTCCTACGCCGGTTTTAATTTTCCACTATTTCATAAGCTAGTAATTATTCATCCTAGTCCAGCTAGAGCCCAATTTATTTTCCCTCCTTATGTGAAAGCCCTTCTCTTCCCATCTTCACTTAGCAAGTGGCCCTTTTATGGGTTGCATTTTTCTTTTCTTAAGCTAACTAGACGCCCCTGTCATCGTTTAGGCTCCGAGAGGACCAGATTCACTCACCAGAGAGTCCACTGGTGGTGTGTTTCTCGTGCTGCCCCTTGCGGTGGCCACCGGCTTGCTGGGGCAGATGTACAGAATAAAGACAGTTACATGTGCTGAGCACCTACTGTTGGCCAAACACAAGTCCACATATGTTTCATGCAGGTGTCCCTTCATCTTCGCAACAAACTTGAGGGTCGGTACGATAGTTATTGCCATTTCACAGCTATGGATTTAAAAAAAAATCAAGGCACTGTGAAATTAAGTTATCTGCCCAAGGTCACACGGCTAGTGAGTGGTGGGCCAGGGAGGGTGGCTCCGGAGGCCTTAGGCTGCCTACTTCTCACTGCCGATGCATTCTCTTCCTCTGCCACTCTCCAACGATCCTTTTCCCAACTGATGCTACTCTTCTGTCCATTTTCTTAAATAGAAAATCTTTTTCCTACAATGTATTTCGATTAATTTTAGACAAGTTTCCAGTGTCCTTTCTTTCCACCCATTTCAGGGGAAAAGGCAGTCCCAGCTTCATCCCAAGTGTCCAGTGTCTGCTCCTCCAGCCAGATAAACGTCTGTTTGGTTTGAGTGCTAAATCGGGCGAGAAGTACAACTTGGAATTGCTGGAGACGGAGCACAGGCTGCGGATTACCTCACTCCCAGTCCTGCCTCCCCTCCTCGCCTGTAGAACTGGACTTTCCCTGGCCATAAAAAGCTCCAGTTATTTGGGCAGTGGACTGATGACAGGACAATCAGGACTGTGTCTCTGGTGCCAATTATCAGAAAGCTGTACCAGGATGTGCCAGCAGAGGCAATCTTATCCTTTGATGTTAGTTTATATCAGGTTGTTTTTTGTTTGTTTGTTTTTCTCCCAACTAAGTTCAGGAAGACTTACTCTCAGAGGCCAATATCATTATCTCAAATGAGAAAGGGTGGAAAACCAGAGTGCCCTAGATGATTCATGATAGGGATACGAATGTCAACAATGTTCGATGACATCAAGTTCAAAATAAGCCACTAGAAAACATTTCACCCTTTGCTTAATTACCAAGATATGAGTTTACAACTCTACATGGCAACCACTGCTGCCGAGAGCTTGGCAGAAGCTTCTTTCACTCAAGGTTTTTGGCCAAGAGGAGCAGTGGCCCTTATCTCCAAAGCAAAAGAGGGTGCTGGGGGCAGTTTCCATGGGATCTTATGATCTATAGGTCATCTCATAGAGGCCGACCGGC